AATTTTGTTTTAAAAACTAATTAAATTCATAGACAAAATATTTTTTAAAAGAAATTGAGACAAAATGGCCAAAATCTATATCCAAACTGGAGTAAAAGCAATACATATCTAGCAAAATTAGAATTTCTACCGGAACAATTTTGAGAGGAAGAAGAGAAGTATTAAGCAAATTTAGGCCTCATTTATTTGTATAATGGAGGTCTGAATTTTAATTATTCAGATTTTAGATGTTAAGTGTGTTATTAAAGTCTGAATCTTAATTATTTAGATCTTAATTGTTAAGTGTATTTTTTTTACTTCACAATTACTTAATGGATTTGAATAGATCTGTATGATTAAAATTTATGACAAAGACTTAATTTCATCAAGATGTTATTATTCACATTCATTACCAACTGCCGTCACCGCCTACCATTATCACCTACCACCACCATCCTCAACTATAGCCGCCATCACTATCATCACTCACCACCCCCACTACCACCATCCTCAATCATGATCAGATACTCACCCACCTAAACTACTACAATCAACCACCCCATCATCATCAATAACAATAGCCGCGATTGTTCACCATTATAAACTACTAGCACTCATCATCACTTTCCTCAATCACAACGACCACCCACCATTATTAACTATCACAATCCCCACCACCATCATTATTGCTACCAATCACCACTAGCTACTCCATAGAACCACCACCATTAAATTAATTAATATTTTATTTAAATTTGATGTTTATTAATTTTTAAAATAAAGATAAATTTTATATATTTAGATGTTAAAAAACAAACAATCTTAATTATTTAGTATTCATATCTTAATACACATCTTAATATTTAGATATGTATTTAAATTCAAATATCTTAATCTTAGTACACTTTTCATATTAAGAGATATATTCAGATTCAGATATCTTAATCGTAAAAAATAAAAAAAATGATTAATAAGTTGTATACCTTTAGGAGGCAAAGACAGATACTTATAATTCTTTTAGCTATTTGTTAAGATAGTCTAAACAGTCGCACTTTGTTTAAAAGACACTTTAAAATTACATTCTTTAATTTAATTACAATTCAAATTGCCTTCCCTTTTCTTCCCAACACCTAACTACACCAACAATTTCACTCTCAGTTAGTGTATGACGTTTAAGATTTATGTATACATAATAGTGTCTTCCAACTTTAACTTATCACTTGTATAAATTTTCAAGATCTTATTGAAATTGATGGTTAGATTATGTTCTTTTTATTCCTTAAATACAAGACCAGAAAAATTATTATACACAAATTATACCAAACTCACCATGCATGTGGCGTGAGTTTTAACACCCTATTATGTACTTGTACTATATCCTAAATGCATAAAACTTACAAAATTTTATATCCCACACGTTGATTAAAGTGGCACCATTTTTTGTATTTATATAAGTGAAGATATTACTAATTCCTCAACATGGACTTCCATACATATTAAGAGTCTTTTATTAAGTTAAGGGGGCATTTTTATATGGTGGAAAGTTGTGGCCGAGTTTAGCATTTTTAGTAAGCTAGGAACCATTTTTAGTAAATTATTTTTTTAACACTAGGCCGCCTATACAGCCAGCGACCTACCCCCTTCCCATTTTTTTAATTTCTTTTAGTGTGGAGATTTTAAACATTTGAATACTAGAATTTTTAAAATTTTGGGCCGCTTTATAGATGCTGGAAAGTTTGGGCTGGTTTTAAGAAATTTAGTAAGTTAGTGGGCGTTTGGACATAAGAATTGTGAAACTCCGAAAAAGTAAAAAATAAAATTTAAGTAAAAATTATATTTTAAAATTAAAGTTGTGTTTGGCCATGAATTCAATTTGGAGTTATTTTTAAATTTTTGTAAGTGATTTGAAGTAAATTTTTTAAAAAATAACCTTTTGAAGTTTTTCAAATTCCGAAAATTAACTTCAAGTGAAATCTATATTTTTCATGGCGCATTGATTCCAAAAAAATAAAAATAAAAATTTTAAAAAAGTGAATTTTCTTATTAACAACAGTTGCCTCTACAACTAGCGACCTACTTTTCTGTTCCTTTTTTTTTATGTGTGCAGATTTAAAACATTTGAGAAGAATTTTGGGCCGATTTATACATGGTGGAAAGTTTGGGTCGACTTTAAAAAGTTTTAGTAAAGTTCGTACGCGATTTTAGTAAGTTACTTTTTTAAAAGGTAAAACGCAAGTATAGTCAGCGTTATTTTCTGCCTTTTTTCTTTTGTGAGATGTTAAACATTTGAGTAGAAATTTGGCCTGATTTATATATAGTGAAACTTTTGGGCCGATTTTAGAATTTTAGTAAGTTATATTTTGTTAACAGTAGGTCGTTTCTGGAGCAGGCGATTATTATTTTTTTTTTTTTTAAAACAATGTGAATATTATTGATAACACCAAATGATTAGCACCTAAATCTGACCACATACTTTTAGGCCTCCAACAAAATAGGAAAAAACAGCTAATTATAGATAACTTATCTAACCAAACTCCTATATTTTTGTGCTTTCTTAGACTTCCGAAGTAACTCTACCCTTTCTATAACTTCCCTCTTAGTTTGTGTAACTACTCTGCTCTATTTACGGTTCTTCCTTGAAATTTTTTAGTATTCCTAGCTCTCCAGATATGGTGTATCACTGTTATATTAGACACAACTACCACTTCCTTTTTGAATTGCTTCCAATGCTTTCTTTTGATCATTTCCATCAGTTGCTTGATTCCTGCAACCTGCACTGCCTGTCCTAGCCACAGGTTTATATCTTGTCTTACTGTATTGATCCATCTGCATTCAACAAACAAGTGGTCCTTATTTTCCAGTTTATCCTCATCACACAAATTACAGTTTATATTATCAACCTATAATTGCATCCCAATCAGTTTGTCTTAAGTTAGCAACCTCCCTAATATTGCAAGCCAGCCAATAAATCTGTGTTTAAGTTGTGCTACAGTTGTCCAGATTAAATTTGCAATCTCTAGTTTCTGTTGTCGACCAATTATAGCAAGATAGCTATTAGTGATTGAATATCTCCCTCCTGAAGTTAAAACATATTTGTTATGGGAGTACCATTCCTTCATTAGTTCTTTGATTGAGTTTATCTTCCTCCAGTACCAGCTACTATCTATTATGAGATTTTTAATATATTTTAAAAAAGATATTACAAGGGGCACTCATGTTTGAGCTATTTGCATTTCTACCCTCAGGTTTTCATAAATACCCAATGTATGGGTCGAAATTCGGCTTAGGAACTTAGGCGTGGGAAGATTGTTAAGTGAAAAGATTGTGTTTCGATTTGGGTGACCAGGCCGAGGTCGACCAACGCCCAACAACGTGCAGTCGCCGAGCAAGCCGTTAAAGCCGAAGTCGAGTAGCGAAGAATAGGAACAACGGCTAGTGTAGTCTTGGAACTAGCGACATGAATATTCCCTTGAATATTCTCTTTGTTGTACTTTTTTAGGATTTTTAGAGAACATCTCATATAAATAAAAAAGGAAAGAGAGGAAAAAAGAGACGGGAGATTCATTCTGAGAAAAACTATTATAAGAAGTTGACTCTTGAGAGAAAATACAAAGGTTCACCTTTCCAGAGTGATTGATTTTGTCGATTATTCTTCCTTTTTACTCAAACGATCCAAGAAAGCATTGTTCATTTTCTTACTTATTGCCGCACTTTGTTGTCAGGAGGAAAAATCTTCCACATCATTCAATATTTGGGTGAATCGTTCTTCCTATTTACATTTATTGCCATTTTCCATATTTATTGCTCATCATTCATTCTTCATTTATTCTCAAAAGCGTGCATTTAATAATCTGATAACCGACTCCGCACATTAAGTAGACGATATCATTTAAACACCTAGCTAGATCTAAGAATTATTATGCTTGACTAGGATTCACTTTTTTCACCTTATTTTATCTTTTGATTAGTTTAACAAAGAGTACTATACTTTTTGGTCAAACACCCAGCCCAACCCAACAACCTGAACTTCTTAAACGCTCGCTTCTCTCTTACATTTAGCAGAAACACACACACAAAAAAAAATAAAAATAAAAAATAATGGAGGTGGTTGCTGCTCAAATGCAAAGTATACCATTAACAAGTTTAATGTAGCTTCTGCAGTTCTGCTTAGCTTCGTCAAAGCTCTTTGTTACAGGCGTTACAACTTAAGCCTAACATTTGAAATATTTTTTTCTTCTTCCTTTATTTGATTTAAATAGCGTTTGAAATGCTTTTTAGGCTTCAATTTCTTCAAAAAGAGAAGTGATCTCTACAAAAATAGATTGAATCCTTTTTGTAAAAATGTTGTTTGAAAACTAATTCAAATTGTAGTAGAAAATCTTAGTTATTTAGAATTTGGTTTATTTAATTCATGTCTAAATATAATTTGCGGTTAGAATAAATATAGGAATATGCTTTTCTGTTTCTAGTTAAAATAGTTTTCATACTATCATAAATAAGGGTATTGATTGTTTATTTTATGTGTGAAGGAAATAAAGAATTGCAGAGATCATTTAGACATGGATTATGGAGCTCCTGCGTATAAACTTCCAGCATATTATGTTGAATTTCCAACACATTACGAAATTTCTGTACATTATGTTGGAATCTCATATGTAACAAATTCGAACTCCAACATATTATGCTGAAACTTTTTCGGATTTTAAGGATGTTCTTGTTCAGATTTTATCTTTATATAAAAAGGTTGCTAAATTTTAATTACTTTTAAAATTGTAGCTATTTTTTAATTATTAGTTGTAAATTTGACTATTTCTAATTTTTCCCGAAATAAAAGGAGTAGAAAAGTAAAACTGCCGAAGAACTACTCTATCAAACCTTAGAATAAGTGTTTCCTTTTGAAGCAAAGTTTGCTCTATTATTTGAACTGAATAACAACGTCCAACAAGAAATAAAGGTATGGAAAATTAACCAAGAATTACTATATAAGCGAAAAAAATAGAATTCAACAATGAGAAATAAAGTAAAGGAAATAAAAAAAAACATATCATAAATATTAGTTTTACATAGTCATACATGGAGATCACAAATAGTAGTTGATGTCCATTACAAATTTATTTGGAACGGTAGATAGTCACTTCTTTTTTACAACGTACACTGTTACGAATAACACAAGCTCAAAAGGAGCAGATAAAAATAAAAAGACCATAGAGAATACGTTAATAATATGAGATTCAAGCTATTTCTAAAGGTAAGTTTCGCAAAGCCATCACTTGAGTGTTTGAGGACCAAAATGAATCAACTGCATTAACAGGATAAATCAAACTAATTAATATAAGTAGAGAAATGTAATTATAATTTACAAAGAGATTAAAGGATATTGAAGTTACATACCAGTCAGTGTCACAAGGAGAACAACAAAAAAGAAAGAGAGTTTGTGAGATAGACATTTTTTAGCCATGCTAATAGAGTTTTGAGTAGCTGATTTTTGTGAGAAGAAGAGCTAATTAATTGTGTGAGTGGATTTTCTTGATTGATGAAAGGCTACATATATATAGGCTTTTAAAATTGTTTAGACATAAATATATATCTCTTAAAACTTTTATAGTTATCCACTGCTAGTGTCCCATATTGTGCACTTTCGCTCTCTCTCTTCTGTGGCTGCTACTCACTCCGGTTTATTTTAATTGATTTTTTGGCTCTTTTTTTCGTGGTCTATAATATTTTTTTTAAAAAATATTTAAAAAAAATAACTTTCTCTTTTTCAAAATTGCTATTGGAGTAAAGAGCATAGAAGTGTTGGTTATATTTTTAATAAACAAATTAAAATTAGTACAGTCATTTTAATTGTTAATTAATACTTAAAAATGAATTCCTTAATTGTGTAAAAATAGCCAAAAAATCAAGTAAAGTGGCCCGAGGGAGGAATTAAAAAATAACCAGATTTACAAGTGGTAATTGAAAAATAGCCACATTTTCAAAAGTAATCGAAATTTAACCACTTTTCATGTAAAGATAAATGTGAACGAAAACACTATTCAAAATCCGAAAAATATTCCAACATAATATACTAAAATTTCAGTATAATATGTCGGACTTCCAGCATAATATACTGGAGTTCCAATATAATATACCGGTCCAGCATAATATGATAGAAGTTCATACACATGTGCATCAAGCAGCAAAATAATGATTTTTTTCAATGAATTTATAAATGCTGACTATTTTTCAATTACCAATCTAAAAGCTGACTAGCCCGTGCTATTTTTAGAGTAATATATAAACGACTCGCTTTTATTATAGAAAAAGCGCACTAGCCCTAGTTGTTAGCCTCCCCATCCAAGTTGTATTTGAATGAATGCACTACTTTAGTGGCACCTTTTCTTTGATCGATAAGTTTTACTTTATCCGTCCCAAATTAAGCTACTCCTTCTATTCCAATTTATGTGAACCTATTTTCTTTTTGGTACGTTTCAAAAAGAATGACCACTTTCTAAATTTCCTAATAATTTAGCTTAAACTTACAATTCTACCCTTAATGAGAAGCTTTTATAACCACACAAATACTCTGGGCCCCTTTTTGACTTGTTTAGGACCACAAATTCCAAAAGTCTTCATTTTTTCTTAAACTTCGTGCCCAGTCAAACAGGTTCACATAAATTGAAACAGAGGGAGTATATTTTTCTCGCGAGTTAATTTGATTAATGTTTGAAATTATAATATAATAACAATAACAACAATAAACCCAACATAATTTTACAAGTGACGTTTAGAAAGGATAGCATATATGCAGATCTTACTCATGCCCTATATATGAGGGTAAAGGGGTTGTTTTCGATAGACCCTCGACTCATGAATAATGTTTGAAACTACATTAGATTAAATAATTTAATATTTTGAAGTTAAAATAGATTATATAAGAAATAAGTTAAGATTTGTCTCATATCAATATGAAAAATAACTTTTAAAATATCAATAAAAATTTATATAATTTAAATGTCGAAAACAAAAAGTATCACAAAAAAAGGAGAGTGCTATTTTAGTGGCGGCTTTACCGTGGAGGCTATGAATATTATCGATTTTGTCTATCGGTTATCGGTTTAAAAATATCATAACCTGATAACTAAACCGATAAGATATGGGTTATCGGTTATTGGTTATCGGTTATCGGTTTATCGGTTTATCGATTATTATCGGTTTGACTATCGGTTTACCCGATAAGATAAAACAACTAAAACAGTTTCGCAATGTATAAAACAGTTTCGATATAAAACTGTTTTGCTAAAATAGTTTTATAAGATTTTAAGAACTGTTTTGCTAAAACTCTTTTCAGAACTGTTCTGTTTCACATGAATTTAAATTTACTGCAACATCCAATAAAATAAACACTAACCAAAGTTTCTATCTTTCATTCTTCAACCCAAAAAATATAAACAAAAATCCCAATATCAGTGAGTGACGAAAAAATAGAATATCAGTTATATTTTCATTTCGACACTTTCTTCAAATAAAAGGGATCTAAATGAATAACAAATACAAATTTATTAGTTATAAAATATAAATTTTATAACAACTGACACAAGATAACTTTGTAATAGCTCAACAATTAAAGCACACGACAAATCTCACTTCAGCTTTCAAACAAACTAAGAAAAATTCAGAGCCAGAATGCTTTCAAACAAACTAAGAAAAAGATGAAGATGAAGCAACTAAAAACTTACCCGAAGAATCAAGATGAAGTTGAAGAATACGGCTAAGAAATGCAACTGAAGAGTGAAGTGAAGATGCGACTGAAGAATCTAATGGATATGAGAAATAAAGTGAAGATGCGACTGAAGAGTGAAAGAAAGAAGTTGAGAAATGCGTCTGACGCCAGCTTGAGTCTTGACGGGGTGACTGGTGAGGGCGTGATGCTGTCACGGCCCTAAACTCAGACCCGATCGTGATGACGCCTCTCATGAAGACAAGGCCAGTCGGCACATTCCCATTTCAATTTTAAGCAATTAAAATAATAAGTATTAAGTCTTAAACATGATAAAATCCCAAAACAAGCAGTTAACAACATAATTTGTGAAAAACAAACCCAACATAGCCCCATACCGGGGTGTCACTAGTTATGAGAATCTATCCATATACTACAAGTCTGAAGCGTCTAAAAAGCTATTATAGAATCACTATAAGAGAAAGGAAATGAGATAAAGAGGGAGAAGCGCGGGGCTGCGGGCGCCGAGCAGCTACCTCGTGAACTCCGAAATCTGTCGGGAGATCTCAACCCTCGCAAGCAGGATCACCAGAGCCTGAATCTGTACACGGGGTGCAGGGAGTAAAGTGAGTACTGCAACTCAGTGAGTAATAATCATAAATAAATACTGAGAAATATGAAATCACGTAAGGCACATTATAGGCTATAATGGAGCAGTAAAAACTAGTAAAAATAGTGAATCAGTAAAGATATGTAAAATCATTTTAGTTCAGTTTAAACTTCATGAAATGCCTTTTTAACAATTAAGCAGGTAAATGATAGGCAACTAGGAAAGATAAACACTTAAAGGATCTCCCCTTGGGCAATATCATAGAACAACACCAGCCCCTTGGGCTATATATAATATCACAATGGGTACCCGCACTCACTAGGGGTGTGCAGACTCCTGGAGGGGCCCCTTACGGCCCAAGCGCAATATCAAGCCATCTCAAGACATCATCACTAGGCTCTCAGCCTCATATCAACAAGCCACCTCGTGGCATACAAATCTCAGGCCCCCGGCCTCATAATCATAATCAGGTGTTTCCTCACAACATAGGCCCTCGGCCTTACTCAGTCAAAGTTCTCACGAGCCACTCGGACAATAGTAAAACATGATGCTCATCCCAAAATATCATTTAAAATCTTATTTAAGTGTTAAAGCAGAGTAAACATGGCTGAGTTATGAAAACAGTAGAATAGAGCATGACTAAGTTCAAGTATAAAGCCAAAACAGTGAGGAAATATCAATAAAAATCCCCCAAGGGTTTAAATAGTTGGCACAAGGCCCAAATATGACATTCAGCCCAAAACATGATGATAGCAAATAGTTTTCAGTCAATTATACGATAAAACAATCATTAGGGATGGACTAAGTCACAATTCCCAATAGTGCATGACCCCACGCTCGTCATCTAGCGTGTGCGTCACCTCAATACAGCACAACGAAATGCAATCCGTGGTTTCATACCCTCAGGACATTATTTACAATCATTACTCACCTCAATCCGGTCCAAACTCTAGCCTGCGACACCTTTACCCCTCGAATCGGACTCCACTCACATCAAATCTATCCAAAATCAGAATCACGACGTCAAAATATGCTAAGGGAACGAAGCCCAAGCGAAAATAATCAATTCACAACACAAATCCCAAAATTGCCAAAACCCGACCCCGAGCCCGCATCTCAGAATTCGATAAAATTTACATCAATAGATTCCTCATCTCCCCACGAGTTCATACATATCAAAAGTACCAAAATCCGACCATAAATGCTCTCTCAAATCTTCAAGTCTAGATCTCCAATATCAAGCCCTAGTTTCCCCAATTTTAACCCTTAAATTCCATTAATTACAGCTCTAATCCATGAAATAATACCATAAGAACGAGGTTTAGGTCCAAAATCCTTACCTCAATGAAGTTCCCTTGAAATCCTTCTTCAAATCGCCCAAAAAGCTCCAACAACCGACTTAAAAATGGTGGAATAGCTCAAAAATCGCGAGGAATGAATTTATATGTTCTGGCCCAGGCATTTCGCATCTGCAGCCCTTCTACCACTTCTGCGGTAACGTTTTTACGGTCCTTGAACCACTTCTGCAGTTTTCACTTAAGCCACTAAATTACGCATCTGCGATGCACTAGCCGCACCTGCGCCATCGCAGGTGCAGTTCACCAACCGTTTTTGCGCTCACAGCCTTCCTAGCTTGTTCGGCTTCTACAACTTCTTTTCCTCATCTACGGGGGTTGCACCTACGGCCTCCCAACCGCAAATACGGTTATGACAGCAGACTTCACTCTTCAGCTACCAAACCAAAGTTTCATTCTTTCCGTCAACCATCCGAAGTCACCCCGAGGCCCCTGGGACCTCAACCGAAAGCACAAGCCCACCATAAACCACCATCCAAACTTATACCAATCTTCAAAACACCTCAAACAACATCGAATTCAAGCCTAAGTTTTCAAAATCTTCTAAATTACGCTTTTGATTAAAAACCATGTCCGAATGACCTGAAATTTTGTACACATATCCCAAATGACACAACGAAACTACTGCAACTCCCGGAATTCCATTCCGACCCCTATATCAAAATCTCACATATCAACCGGAAAACGCCAAAAATCCACTTTCGCCAATTCAAGCCTAAATCTACTCTGGATCTCCAACACACATTCTGATCACGTTCTTAAGTCCCAAATCACCTCCCGAAGCTATCCAAACCATCGGAACTCACATCCGATCCCTCTAACACATAAGTCAACATCCGGTTAATTTTTCCAACTTAAACTTCCTC